CTGCTCTGGGCCACGAGCCCAACCTACTTCGCATGGTGTGCCGCATCTCGCCCCGTCCCTCATCCCTGCCTGCACCCTGGCTCCGCCCGATGGTCTCTGCTCGATCGTCCGGGGGGCCATCCAACAGCGTCGGCAGCTACGCGGGCACTAGGTCGAGCCTGCACGTCGCGGATTGCATGGGGTGATTGCGACATGGCGCAGTTTAAGAGTTGTTCTAAGCGTGCATCGGCAGGATGAAACGCCCACGCGCTGAACAGCATGCACATGCGTGACTCCTACTAGTAGAAATTGTGAGGCGTACGAATCGCAGCACTTTCTCACACTACGAACACGAAACGGATCAACGGGGGAACACGCGAATTCCGCGGGAAACCACGTTGAACTACACGCTGGCACCTAACGATGTTCCCCGACAAATCCGAAAACACTCGATCGCACATCTGCCGCACAACCAGCAAACTCTCACCACCACGTCAAAACAATAAACGCTTGCAAACGTTTGCAAACGTTTGAACATGTTTGTTTGCAAACGTTTGCTACCGGTCGGGGCGTGGTGCGGGGCGGTTTGCCAGGCGTGGGCTGGGAGTTGCAAGCGGCTGCTTGGCGCGCGCGCAGACGCACGCACACACATACACACGCGCACAGGCCGCATCGGCATGTGCCATCGCCATTATCGGCGCGCGGACGTCGGCACGCGCGTTTCAAACCTACTGGGCGTGCGTATTTCGTCGTGGCTTCCCGTCCGCCCCCCTCCTCCTCCTTCTCCTCCTCCTCCTTCTCCGCTTTGTCCTTGTCTCCTCTCTTCCTCCTCCTCCTCGGCCTCCTCACCCTCCTCCTCCTTCTCCTTCTCTTCCTTTTTTTTACACGTCCCGTGGCTTCAGGCTCAAGGGGCCCAGCCCCAGCCGCGGCCCATGACGATTTCATGGGCGCGGCAGAAGAAGCTGCAGAAGAAGGGCCAGCACAGGCCGCTGCTCACTTTAAACAGCTTAGGGCGCCTGCCCCATCGCATGTTTTCAGCATTGCATCATCGCCCCTATTTCCTGTTTCCCAATCCTGATTGATCTACCCTGCCTGAGACCTTCCATCCGTCCACTTCCTCTGCCTATTATATCGCTCAGAGCGATCTCTCTCATACCATCACTCATATCATATCCAGTTCCATTATGCATTATTTTCTTTTGTCTTCTTCAGTTTTCTCTACCTCCACCATCTGCGCCCCCGCCCACCAAGGTCAAGGACTTCGGCTCTAGTCGCGGCGCGCGACTTGCAGGCCTGAGCCCAAGGTCGGCGCGCCGCGGCCGTAGCGAGGGCCAAAGCGACGAGGTCGCGGCTCAGTTTAACCAGCCTGGGGCGCCTGCCTCGTCGCAGCCTCGTCTCATCGCATCTTCGTCGCGCTCATACCATCATTTGGTCATGCGTATTCGCGTGATCGTGCGCGTTTCCGTTTTTTTTTGCGTGCGCGTCGTTATGTCGCACAGTCAAGCACGCTACCTGTGCTACGACATGCGCGCGCGCGTCAGTTGCGCCCATGACGACACGCGCGCCGCGCATTCGATCGCGACGCCCGACCGCGTCCCGACCCGAACACAACCGCGCCAACCCCCGACAAACGTTTGCAAACGATTGTTCGGTCGCGCCTTCTACCCAACAGACGTTTGTAATTTTTTTCGTCGCATGCTGCTCGCTCGCTACCGACATTCTAGCGCGGTGCCGACTTTTGCGCGCGGTCGCGACCGACTCGTCGCTACCGGAATTCCCCGGTAACGCAACGATCGGCCGCTACCGAAATTTACGCCCGGAGTCGGTCGGTACCGAAAAATCTGAACGATTTCGCCCGTTACTGGAAATTTTCGGTAACGGATGATCTGGGTTTGGGTTCTTTCTCTCCCGGCGGGCTCCTGAAAAAGGAGGGTCAAGATCGGGGGTCTGTTCCAGACGGCCTGTTGGAAAGGCCGCGGGCACTGGCCAGCTCTATGGAGGACGATCAGTGGAGAGAAAGCATGTAAAAACCATGTTTCGAGCATTTTCTTACATGGTAAATTTCAATTCAATGATAGGACTGTTAGGGTGTCTGTTGTCGTGGCATTCACAACCCCAGCTCCTGACGAGGTGCGGCCTTGCACTGCCCGCTTGGCCATTAGAGCAATTGGTATTTGACACCGGCTTCCAGCGGTTGTGGTTTGGTTGGCCCAAGAAGGGTCCAGCGAAAAGGGGACGGTGCAACAGATCTGGTGCAATCTATTTGTGGGGTTGCAGTAGCTTGGGGTGTGCAACACATGCCAGTGCGCAAATGTATTGCTGGACTTCCGCGTGCAGTGCATGAGTTACATACAATGTAATACAATTCTCTGGCGCAATACATTTGCAATCCAATTGGCCCAAGTCTATTGCACCACCCCCTTTTAGCTGGAACCACGAGGGTACAGAGGTAACGCGGGGCGCTGTCTTCTCAAAGCGACGACCCAAAACCACAAACTGAACTGGAATGGGCAGTTTTTTCGGCAGGGTTTCATGGCCGGGGCCATGATACCTTCCCTGCATGATATCGTGGCCCCCTTCTTCGATTATAGTGATCCCCCCCGGCGCCCCCCCCCACCAGGCAACGGCCGTTACCAAAACTAGTAAAACAGTCTCCCCCGATCCTCGTCGCCGCCGTCGCCGCCGCCGCCGTCGTCCCCCACGCCGTCGTCGTCGTCGACGTCGTCGTCGCCGTCGCCGCCGTCATCCTCGTCCTCGTCCTCGTCGTCGTCGTCGTCGTCGTCCTCGTCGCCCTCGTCGTCGTTGTGGTCGTCGTCGTCGTCGCCGTCGTCGCCATGGCGCCCCCTGGGCGACCCAAAGGACGCCGCCGCGGAGCCGCAGGTCGGGGCCCGCGGGGGCCCGCACGGCGGCGGCGGGCCCCGGGCCGAGGCAGACGGGGCCGGCTCGGAGGCCGCGCCGGGCGGGCGGCGGCAGCACTCGAAGGAGGAGGAGGAGGAGAAGAAGAGGAATACGAGGAAGAGGGGGAAGAAGAGGTTTAGAAGAAGAAGAAGAAGAGGATCAGAAGAAAAGGATGCTGATAAGGAAGCTAAGAGGATACTAAGAGGGACACGCAGAATACTCATACTACGATTACGAAGCTAAGAAGAAGAGGAAGAGCAATCGAAAACGATGATAGCGATGGTAGCAATGATCGTAATAGTAGCGGCAGTGATCATAGGAAGAAAAAGAAAAAGGAGGAGAAGAAGGAGGAGAAGAAGAAGAAGACGGCGAATAATAAGACAATTCATACATCCGCATTTCGGCGTCGCCCCAGTAAACGGCACGGGGGCCAAGGGCGGGAGCTTCGGGCCGGCCCTCCCGCGCAGCGGGCCCCTGGGCTCGCCGCCACTCTCTGGCTCGAGCCCGTTCGCGGCCGTGGCCTCTCGCGCCAGCGCGGGGCCTCGCGAGCGCTGCGCGGTGCTCAGAATCGGGACGACCGAAAAGGGCACATCGGAGGTTGATAGACCTCCTGCCCTGTTGCGTCGATTAGCGAATTGGCCGTTTTCGGTTCGCGAGAGGGCGTCGCGGCTGCAATTTCTGCGGGTCCAGGTCCGTTGGTTTCGGTCCCAGGCCGTTTTCACTAAAGGGTGGTTTACTGAAGGGAGGTTTGTCCATCGTCGAGTACAGACAGAATGGGTACAAAGACCAACACCAGATCCTGCTCATTTTGAACAGAACTCGCCGTCGGCGTTCACTGAAGACAGGAAGGCCGCCTGCCCAACAGCGGCCGCTGTCGGTGTTGGACAGCGTTTGCTGTCGGGCATTGTGCCCATTCTCTCCTTGCCCCGAGTTTCGTAATCAGCGTCGGGGGAGCGCCACCCCCGCCGACGGCCACACGTCGACCCCCGTCGCGGGCAGCCACCGCGCGCCGAAGGCGCTCCGACCCCCGCCGCGGCGCGACGACGAGGCAAGACTGACCCCCCCGTCGGGGGGGTACCCCCCCACGCCTACTAAGAAGCCCAGGACGAGGAGGAGGAGGAGGAGGAGGAAGAGGAGGAGGAGGAGGAGGAGAGAAGGAGGAGGAGGAGGAGGAGGAGGAGGAGGAGGAGGAGGAGGAGGAGGAGGAGGAGTACCCATGTCGGGCGTCCAGACAACAAAAAAACAGCGCGCCCCTCCAGGGAGGGCGCCGATGTCGCGCGCGCGCCGGGGGCGCCCCGCCGTGGCCGCCGCGCTGTGCGCGCGATGGGCGGGGGCGGTGCCGGCGGCCGCCCACGCAGACAGCTGGCGCGCCCCGGGGGGCAGGACGTCGGCCCATGGCCGATTGGACGTAAGTCACCACCCACCAAACCACCCCAACCCAACCCGAAGGCTCAGATTTACCCTCGATTTCCAGTGGGGGGGGGGTCGGGAAACATCGAAAAAACACATGTGGAACCCTTACCCTCCCCCAACCCGAAATTCGGGTCTTCGGGTTGGGTTGGTGTGGTCTGGTAGGTAGTCAGTAAGAGTGACCTTTCGCCGGAGTGGCCTCTTGGTGCGGGCACAGATGGGTCCCCAGATGGCTGAAGACGAAGTAGCAGCAGCAGCTGCTTGCGCGCCCAGGTTTGGTCCCCCCTATGGCCCCCAAAAAGCCGCGCACCAGAGGTCACTCTTACCCAGGGTCACTCCTGCGTATAGCCGACATGCAGAGCCGTCGCAGCAGCGGGAAAAAGTCGGAGCGGGCGCCTTGCCCGCCGGCGACAGAAGGTTGCACGGGAGCCACGAGGAATTCCAAGAAGCCCCCTGCCCTCTTGGAAGGCCGCCGCCCCCCCATCACGCCACTCGCTTCTGCGCGCCGCAACCGTTGAGTCTGCTGTCTGCAGTGGGGGCGCGCATCAAGAAACCAAATGCTTTTCGTCAGGGCGTCCTGGGTTTCTTCGCTCCTCGCGCTGCGCGGTGGCTTCCCGCAGCCGCTGGAGGAGCTGCTGCGTTCAGGGTGCTCGAGGTTTCCCTTCAGTTGCACCTCGCGCGCGGGTTCTCAGGGTTGGGTTTCTTGCGAAGGTCTCTTGCGGCCGCGCCCGCCCAGATGTGCTCCGTCGCAAGTCCGACGCCAATCCGACGCGAATCCGGTGCAAAGCCAGCGTGAATGCGACGTGGATCCGACGCAAAGTAGAACTCCAGAGATCCGCGACGCTCCAAGAAAACAGTTGGAGCGGGCGGTCTGGGGCCACTTTCGGCCTCATATGGGGGCCCTCGCCGGGCCTCCGGGAGCGTCAAAACGACGGCGCGGGACGAGGCGCCGGGCCCAGGGAAGTGGTCCCGGACATCCTGCTGCGTCAGTTTTTTGGGGGGCGTGGGCCCAGGAGGTCCAAGACCACTTCTCTGGGACCGGCTTTTCGTCCAGGATCCTGTGTTGACGCTCTCGCGAGGCCCGGCGAGGGCCCCCGGAGGCCGAAAACTGCCAGACACCGCCTGCTCCAAGTGTTTTGGGGGGGGCGTCGGATCTCAGGGGTCCAAAACTCTAGGGTGGTCTGGCGCCTCGACAGGGAGTGGAGCTGCCGGGCGTCCGGGGAGGCGGCGCCGCTCCCTCGAGGCAGGTCCTGGCGTCGCAGCCTGTTCGCGCCGGGCGGTTGTTTGTTCGTCCGGCTTCGGGCCCCATAGGGTTGTGGAGGACGAGCAGTGGAGAGGACGCATGTTGCCAAATAATTTCAGACGTCCAAAACGGGTGTTCAACACGTCTTAGACATGTACAACACATGTTAAAGACATGTTTAGAACATGTTTTCCGACATTTTGAACAAACTTCAAATGCAATGATAGGACTGTTAGGGCGTCCTTGCAGGTCGATCCAGCTCGAAGGCTGTGGTCTGGGGCTCCGGTCGTAACTTTCAGCGATGCCTCCATTTCAGCCGCGCCAGCCACGCGCAGAAATGGTTCAAAGGGTGGGGAGGGCTTCGTAGAATGCTCAGAAGGCGCGGGCCTCATCTATAGATGTATGGCCGGCGCCTTCTAACAAGCAGCCTCCTTCTAAGAAGCCCTCCCCCCTCCCTCCACCCCCTTGTGCGCGCCGCCAAAAAGTGGTGTATAAAGATGGGGTCTAGGGCTCGGGTCGTAATTCTCAACGATGTCTCCACTGCTTCGCGCCGTCGAGTCTCGGGGTCACGCGTCGTCTTGTGGTCGTTTTCTTAGCTATACCGCTACCCTTCCCTCGTTTTCCCCTTTGTGGGCCTCCTGGGAGGCCCTCGTCGCCACCACTGGATTCGCCGCGAAATCTTGTTCACAAAGCACATTGGGAGAGGTCCAGGGAGTAGCGGTATCGGTACCTTTTGGTTGCCCCTCCGTGGAGTAGATTTTGTCTGTTCTTCGTGTCTGTCTCAAGCAGGTGGAGTCTCCCCGGTAGGACGCACTGTTGCAAACAGTCGCGTTAAGCAGAGGTTCGGAGCCAGACCCCCCCCTCCCCCCCTTCTCCGCCCAATGTCGAAACGCCGAATCACACAACGCTCACAAAGTCGAGGCGGCCGCTCTGGCGTCGTCTTGGGCCTCTGGATTTCACCGCCCACCAAAACCACCCCAGCTCTACCCGCAGGCCCCGATTTGCCCTCCATTTCCAGCGGTGGTGGGGGGGGGGGGGCGGGGAACATTCTACAAACACCTATGATGCTCGTGCCCCCCCGAACCCGAAATTCGGTCGACATTCGGGTCTTCGGGTTGGGGTGGGGTGGTTTTGTAGGTGCCGATCTGCAGGGTTCCATGTCGTTGACCCTGAGAGATCTCGACCCATGGCCCTGGACACGTTTCTCATCGTGAGTGTTTTTGTTGACAGCCCCGAGGCCCGGTAAGGGCCTCTAGAGGCCGAAAGTATGGAAAAACCTCCCGTCATGTCATGGCGCCAACATTGCAGAGCGGATTTCGTTCGGAAAACAATGGGATGGGCCCAGTTTGTCCTGGAGAATCTCGTTCCGGACTTCAAAGTGAAATTCGCGCGGATTTTTGCTCGGGCCAGGAATGAAGAGTACACACACAATCCGCGTGAAGTGATCTTCGTTTTTTGTGCTCGCCGTTTCGGGGTTTTGCCTTGGCATCAATCCATGCGCAGATCCTCCGCAGCACGCCTGCAAGGTCGGTGCAGTGAGCCATGCGCAGACCCTCTGCAGCACGCCTGCAAGGTCGGTGCAGTGAGTCATGCGCAGATCCTCTGCAGCACGTCTGCGAGGTCGGTGCAGTGAGCCATGTTGTGTCCGTGCCCGAGGGGGTCTGGTGGACAGGGCTCCGTTCGAGGCCGGCTGCCGGGAGGCGGGCCTCGGCCCCGCGGGGGGGGGGGGGGGGGCGACGGGAGCCTTGGGGTGGGGGCCAGTGCAGAAGGCCTCCTCCTCCTCCTCCTCCTCCTCCTCGTCCTCCTCCTCTTGCTCCTCCTTATCCCCTCCTGCTCCTCCTCCTCCTCCTCCTCCTGCTCCTCCTCATCCCCTCCTCCCCCTCCTCCTCCCCCTCCTCCTCCTCCTCCTCCTCCTCCTCCTCCTCCTCCTCCTCCTCCTCCTCCTCCTTCTCCTCCCGGCGGGGGTTGGCCATAGCGCCGGGCATGCCGGGATCTTGCAGAGCCAGGGGTGCACTGACGCGGCCTGCGCGCAGGACCCAGACCCCCTCGGGTAATGACTAAAATCATGGCGGGAGGTTTTTCCATCTTTTCGTCCTCTGGGGGCCCTTCCTGGGCCTCGGGACTGTCAACAAAAACATTCAGGATGAGGAATCGGTCCAGGGGAATGGGTCCAGACCTCTGAGGGTCGACGGTATGAAACAGTACTCTCGCCCGGGGTTTGGGCCCTGCCAGGGGTGCACTGACGCGGGCTTGCGCGCAGGATCCTCTGCAGAGGCGCTTGCAGGTTCCTGCCAGGGTCCTCCAGAGCCTGGCTGGCCCGGGCTTGCATCGACCCCCGGGTCGCAGTGCGTCCATGGGGCTGGCGATGTCGTGATTCTGTTTACTGCGGGGCCTCCAG